CCTTTTAAATAATTACAAATGCCAGGTGTATTAACATATTCTGCAAAAATCTGATTACATCTGGCATAAGTTTACCCCTGGGGTAAATTTTAATTAGAAATGTATCTTAATAATAATAATCATCATCATCATAAATCTTGTACATGCTAAAATCATCTCTTAAATTTAGCAGTAAATGCTCACTGTTCTTAAAATTCTTCCATCTTCCCTTATACTACTACATATTGATAAAAATGTGTCCACTTTTATGATCAGACATAATTTATTTGCATTCAGGTTTATTTGAAAATACAGGCCAGTGAGGAAAAAGATTTTATTATATGTAGTATTATTGAATTTATTTATTTATTTATTATATTGTGTGTGTGTGTGTGTGTGTGTGTATTATATTTGTTATATTAGATTAGATTAATTATTGCAATATTTTGGGTTTTAAAACTCGTATATCCTCCAGATTTGTTTGTTTGAATCTTTTCACCCATCAGCCGGAGCGATGAAAACGCGTTCTCATTCCAAAGCCAAATGTCTCAATGTCCAGCTGTGAGGGTCATGTTTGCCCTGGCATGGTCCTCACCCTCGTACTCCATTTCTTTATCATTCCCTCCCTCGGTTTTCACTCAATTCTTCTCAGTGATCTTTGCTCTTGACACCAATATAACAAAGAGTGAAAAATTTAAGGGGGTCTGAATACTTTCCGTACCCACTGTATGTGTTGTGTCTGTCTCCAGACTTCTCAAGGCCTGTTCTTTCCATTCCCATTCTCCATTCTCTCCGCTGCTCAGGAGCCCATTCCGAACAGAACAGCCAGTAAACGCTGTGAAAGACAGCTGACAATAAAGATGATGGTGTGCAGCTCAGAGAAAGTGTTTTGAGAGACGCTTACCCAATCCGAGATAAAAAAAAAACAACAACTTCCCATATATCCATAAACATCGTCCAAACAACAGAAAACACACACGCACTTCCTATTAATCTAAAGGCAGCGCTGAAACACATACTGCAGACAAAGTGAGCTCGCTGATTTCAGACAGAGTATATTTATGGGAGTTGGCTGGTATGTCATCACACATTTCGAACATTGCCAAGATGTGTTACTGTAGTTCATTAAACTCATGGTTCATGTTTCCATGCAGGAGTTTCTTTATTTGTTTCCTGACTCGGGATCAATGAATCTGCTGTACACAGGGACACCCACCACGGCAGGAGTCCCAGTTTTAGAGTAGAATGTTTCAGTTAACAATATATTGTGGTTTGTGTTCGTGGCTGTTGCTTGGTATTTAATGTTACAATATTTTCTATATTTATTATGCAATATATGTACTATTTCAAATGAACATTCTGTTTCACACTTGCTCATTCCAAACCCATATGATTTTCTTGCTTGAGAGCGACACAAAACACCGTTGAGCTCCAAAAAGCACTATAACAGTATAATCTAAATGATTCATCTTGATGGAAAAATGTGCCTCTGCTTATGTACATATACTTCACTGCTATTTTAGGTAAATGGCTGCTAGTTGCAATATAAAATGCCACCGATAACATAACTTTTTACAAATGTGACCCTGGACCACAAAACCAGTCATAAGGGTACATTTTTCAAAATTGAGATTTTTACATAATGAATAAATAAGCTTTCCATTGATGTATGGTGTGTTAGGATAGGACAATATTTGGCCGAGATACAACTATTGAAAATCTGGAATCTGAGGGTGCAAAAAAATCTAAATATTGAGAAAATCGCCTTTAAAGTTGTCCAAATGAAGTTCTTAGCAATGCATATTACTAATCAAAAATTAAGTTTTGATATATTTACGGTAGGAAATTTACAATATATCTTCATGGAACATGATCTTTACTTAATATCTAATGATTTTTGGCATAAAAGAAAAATCGATAATTTTGACACATACAATGTATTTTTAGCTATTGCTACAAATATACCCCAGCGACTTAAGACTGGTTTTGTGCTCCAGGGTCACAAATGAATCATTAATTGAATTAATAAAGACTTATTTCACACAGTTCATTGCACAATACAATGGTATTGTCATGGAATACTCGGAGACAACATTGAAGATCCAAGTGCAGTTTTAATGTGTGATACAAATCAAAGACCCCCAAAAAAGGACACAAGGCAAAAAGAAACAAGCAATGAAAACACCTGCAAAACACTCAGGAGACGGTGTGACAAATACACAGCACAATGCTTCAGCAGCCAAAATCTTAGAGAACATATAGGTGAGCTAACTAGTCAAGTCAACTAGTTAGATTAGGTCAATTACAAACAGCTAAAAGCAATGAAACATGATAGTCTGTGCAAAGAGTGATGGGAATTGAAGTCAACAACAAACGGACAATAATCTAGGAAGAGTGCCATCTGATGGCTGTCATTGGCACACTGATGTCGGGAGTAAATGACGACTGCTATGTTCATTATTACATCCAACAACAAAACACCTCAATCACTTAGGAGCCATTCTTACCTTGTCTACATCTGCTCCGGCGTCGAAACAATGGCGGACTGATGACAGCTCACTCAGGGCGGGTCTAAGGTAAAACACCAGAGTCAATCAATAATCGTGGGAGGGGCCTGGGTCTGTGTGACATCACATCTGAGCATGGCTTGATATGAGAAAGGGCAAATGAGATTTAAAAAAAACACTGGGTGGATTTTTATCATTATAGGGTGGTTGTGTACACACACTGCCAACACACATTTCAGTTCAAACAACTTGTAAAAGTGCTTGTCGCATCCGATGACCCCTTTAAGAAGTGTTTTCTTAGCATTTCAACATTACATCAACTACTGATGAACACGCAGAGGGTTATTTAATCATGTATGACTTTGTCTTTGGGATGCTTTTGTCTTTCAAACACATTAAAATGCACAAATTCATGTTATTTCTTATTTACATGTAATGCAGGGATTCCCAAACTTTTTTTTTGTCAGCCGAACCGCTTTCACCTAATATATTTATTTGAAGCACCCCTGAGATTTGAAAATAAATAGTTTAATAATTAAGTTTCACATTTGCATGTTCACAGACCTTGGTTAATTGTCACATGACATGCAGGAAACAAAATATTTTAGTAAGTGTTCTATTTTGATTGATGTTATTTTAAAATGATTTATTTAAATTTTATGACTGAATTAATTATTAGCTTTTCATTAAACTCACAAACCCCGTGCAGTTCCTTTACGAACCCCAGAAAAGCCTTGATATAATGTAATGTTAATGCAGTGGTTCCCAACCCTGGTCCTGGAGGCACTCCAACACTGTACATTTTGCATGTCTCCTTTCTCTGACACACCAATTTCAGGAGTCTCTACTAATGAGCTGATGATCTGAATCAGGTGTGTTTGATTAAGGAGACATACAAAATGCGCAGTGTTGGAGTGCCTCTAGGACCAGGGTTGGGAACCACTGTGTTAATGCACTTCATGTTGTCAGTAACAACAATTGGAATATATTTATATCAATATGGTACAAGATTATACTATTTAAATTAATGTAATAAATGAGTTAGGTCAAAAGTAATCTAAAAGTAATCAGAAAGTAGTCTGATTATATTACCTAAAATGTGTAATGTAATGGATTACATTACTAACTACAATTTCTGTCATGTAATTTGGAATCAGTAACCGATTACAATTTGTAAGTAATCTACCCAGAAATCTACCCTCTTTCATCAGAAATAAACCATAAAGCTCAATACACTGCAACATAAATCGAAACAACATAAATCAAAACCTTCAAAAGAAGGTAGTCGCCACAAAAAAAGAGGACAAAGAGAGAACAAACAATCCCTTTCTGTTATCTTCGCACATAGGGCCTATTTCAGAAAAGATAATAGGTTTGAAGGCTTCACATGCTCATGTCAGGAGGTGAAATATTTCTAGTTCACAGACAAGGTTACTAAGTGACTTCTAAGTCTCATATTAACGCATATAATATTTAAGACTTGTGCCTATACTTTGAAAATGCTGAATCTAATCCTTGCATCACTGTAAATGGGATTTTTGTTTGTTTTACAAACTGAGGAACTAAATTATGTTAACGGAGAGAGCTTGTCACAGATGATGTCCATCAAGCTTCACTTGTTCTGAACCTGGAAGATTGCTTTAACACAAAACATTCGGTTTCATAACACATGGTCTAGCTACATCCAGTCTAATGGAAATCTGTCCTGTACCGATAACTGTTACATATGTTTTTAGAGAGAATAGTGGACACATGGAATATGTATAAAACCTGACATTAATGGAAACGACATTGTAATTGAAGTAGGTAATAATTCAAAATGCATGATGTCAGCTAATGAGGTCCATTTGTGGAGTACAATGAGCAGAACACTGACCTGCTGTCAGACTCGGAAACCTCTAATTGAACACTGCACTGTTCTGTGCTCAATACGTATGTGTCTAGCTTACTGTCTCTGTACTCTCTCAAAATGTAAGATATTCTTAATGCAGTTATTTGGAGTCTTTTGCTGCTTTTAACTTTTGTCTTATTTGATTAGAGGTCTATATAAGTCACTGAGGTCAAATAAATACTATAGACTGTGGCGTTTCAATGTCAATACAGTACAAGAGTATCATTTTGAATCATTAGGTTTGTATTACTGTCATATGCGATTGTGTCAGTGAGAAGCAAAACTGTGTGTAGATAAAACAGCCTGAAATTTTATTTTCAGCCTTAAAATATAGCTTTATGAGAGTAAGAGCTGTTTTTATTTTACTGCCAAGTACATTGTCTTTGGTATAAAATATAAACTAATTATTTTAACAGAGCTTGCACAAAAACAAGACTTGCATAAAACAAAAATATATCAAAGTAACCCTTCTAAGTATAAAAGCATATAAAACCTTACATAGAGACAACAATTCATGTTTAAAGAAACATATTCACACATCATATACAAACATCTAGATTACATTTTGAAAGTCTGTTCCTATCTGTTCAGATTGATGAAAATGAACATTATTCTGTGGAGAAGTTAGTTCAAACTGAGTCACAGTCTACAACTGATTGTAATTAGTCTCTAGTGTTATTGTTTTTTAATTAGCCATTTATTTTATAATGTGATATTTACTGTACAGCCATAGCAAGAACTAGACTTGGCAGCCTTATATGACCTTTAAAGACAACATGAAATGGCATTAGCATTGCATTTCTTCAATAGATGTCTATAATATGGCATATTTATAAATGAAATGGAATATCCACCAGAAAACAAGGTAGAGCCGGGTTTGACCGGGTCATGAAAAGTAGAAAAATACAATTAGTTAACATTATTTTCCCCATCCACACAGGCTTGCAGTAGAAAACACATTGTTTCACCACTGTTTTCACAAAAGTGAAGAAAGGGAAAAGACATTTTGATGAAAGATTATGAAAACAAGCCATTTTCTTGAGAACGTGCTCAGATAAATCTTGCACAATAAGACCGCGGACATTTATTCAGAAAGCAAACAGTCCACTTTGATTTCATGTTGTGTTTAAGGGAAGTGCAGTCTAAAGGTCTTCAGTTTGGATTCAGATGTTCTAAGCTGAGAAGCTGGAGGTCTTGTAGGGTAGCAGGTTGTAAAGGGGGGCAAAGGGAGGAGGGTTGGGCTGTGCGTGGGATGTATCTGATGTTCCTCCTGGAGATGCACTAGCAGGTGCTGCTGGAGAAACATAAAGCGACGCCCTCTGGAGGAAAGAGGAAAAGAAGCTTTTAAACCAGGGGTGCCCAAACTCGGTCCTGGAGGGCCGGTGTCCTGCAGAGTTTAGCTCCAACCCTAATCAAACACACCTGAACCAGCTAATCAAGGTCTTACTAGGCATACTATAACTTCCAGGCAGGTGTGTTGAGGCAAGTTGGAGCAAAACTCTACAGGACATCGGCCCTCCAGGACTGAGTTTGGACACCCCTGTTTTAAACTGCACACTTCACTTTTTCAAGATTTTTGGACTGCACACTGAGATGTTTTTCATCAGCTCTTTTCCCAGCAAACTATTGTCTTACTTCAGCTCTGTTCTGTAACCTAGTGAACTACTTCATTGTCTGCTTAAATAGAGCACACAATAAACACTGGGTTAAATGGTGCATTTGATTTAAATGTATTTTTAGCAGTACTTTTTCAGTACTGAATAAAAAATTATGATGACAATTTCCTCAATTTCCCCTGATGAGACCCGTCCACAATCTAGGATGAAAGCTTTCATTTAGATTGCCATGATGGATTCTAGAATTGGAATTCAAGCCAAAATGAGATGTTGCCTAGGTGGGCCGCTCATTCATTCTTAGAAATAAAGATTTCAAAATGGGGTTTCACAGCGATGCTATAGTATAGAAGAATCGCTTGGTTCCTCAAAGAACCTTTCAGTGAACTGTTCCTAAAAGAACCATTAAATTCCTAGTGTGAAGAACAATTTGGTAATCTAAAGAACCTTCAAAGATCCTTGAATGTTCAATGTTTTTCATGGAACCATTGATGCAGAACCTTTATTTTTAAAGGGATAGTTCACCCAAAAACGAAAATTCTGTCATTAATTACTCACCCTCACGTCGTTCCAAACCCGTAAGACCTTTGTTCATCTTTGGAAAACAAATTAAGATATTTTTGATGGAATCTGAGAGCTCTCTGACCCTCCATAGACAGCAATGATATTACCACGATCTATGCACAGAAACGTAGCAAGGAGATCGGTAAAATAATCCATGTGACATCAGGGGTTCAACCGTAATATTACGAAGCTACGAGAATACTTTTTGTGCACAAAGAAAACAATAATAATGCAACTGTTAGTATTGTTATTATAGAACTGCTGAATAAATTATGTTATTATTGTTTTCTTTGCGCACAAAAAGTATTCTCGAAGGTCTTACGTGTTTGGAACGACATGAGGGTGAGTAATTAATGACAGAATTTTCATTTTTGGGTGAACTATCCCTTTAATAGTGTTGAGCTGATCATGTAATAATGTAATAATTTTCTCAGTGACTGTTATATGTTTAATTTATTAGGCTGTATAATCCTATTCTCTTAGTTTATTTGTTGCGTTCATGATGAGCATGGCTGATCTGATGCTTAGTGATGTGTGTTTAAGTTGGCCAGAGGAACTTTTGTGGCGATGCTTCCAAAAGAAACTTCAGATCACTCAGCAGGGGTGAGAGTGCTGGAAGATCCATGATCTGGGATTGGTTGGACTTCTGGCTGGCATTCTCGGCAGGGCAGGGGTGTGATCGGGACAAGCCCAAGGATCAGTATACTTAGGCACAGTTTTATAAGGGAATGCTGTGGGATTTTGGACGGGGATCATTATGGGAGCACACGCCGCATCCTCAGGGGATTTGATAGGGAGTCTCACACTAATTTTACGGTACACAAAAAGTCTGCAAGTCTCCACAACTGAATCATACCATAAAAGACCATGAGCGGAATCTGTGTGCATGTGTAAGTGAGCGTGATGTACTGACCGGGTAGAGCTGGTGTCCTGCGTGTGAGTTTGGGTCCATTAGCAGGGGTGCGGTGGGGGAAGAACAGCTGGCTCCATCAAAAGAGAATAGAGATGAACCTCCCAACTGGGACACATCAAGACCGACCACCCCACTCTTCTGGCAAGAAGAAAAAAAAAAGTATAAGATCATCTCTGGCTGCCATATGCCAAAACATATTTACCAAAACAGTTTATCTATACAATTGCCCCAGAAAGTATAGTTTACTTCTGCGTTCCAATCCCGGAAATGTGAAAAGGGTCCATTGTTTATTGGTATATCTCTGTTGCACAGGGCAATTTTGTGTGTTTGCATAAAAGCCAATGGAATCATGTTTTAATTTGATTTATACGCATGCATGTAGCTGATGATCCTTTAAGTGACATGCAGGTCTTCAATTTTTAAAAAGTAAGCTTAAAAAATTTTGAATGAAGGATAACAGATGTAAACATAAAAGTTTGTACATGAAAGTTTATGCAGTCTTTTAAGCTTTCATAAACCCGTATTGTGACCTTTGTAGCAAGCCATATATAACTCGAATGCTCGTCTTGGGAAAAATTCATTTAGCAGTGGCTGAACTGGCACAGTTTCCCCCTATTGCTGAGACACATTTCCTGAAAGCAATACAACATTAATCAAAACTATAAAAACAAAGCCAAAACCACCAACTCAGTGCTGCAAACCTCAAGCTATTAAGACGAAATTAAACACTGTTAAAAAATTTTCAATTCAAACACAAACCATCAAATACACTGAACACAATTACACACAGTGAGATCTGTTTAAACGAAACAGTTACAATGGTTTAGGACACTGAAGTGAATGTATAGGTGCATCTCAATAAATTAGAATGTCGTGGAAAAGTTCATTTAAACTACTTCAGTCTGTGTGCATTGAATTGATTTAATACACGAGTTTCACAATTTGAGTTGAATTACTGAAATAAATGAACTTTTCCACGACATTCTAATTTATTGAGCTGCACCTGTAGGGTTGGTCAAAGAAATATGTATATATCTTGAATCTGCAATATCATGTTCAATGTGTATATATACATATAAAATATCATGTTTACAGTTGTGGTTTTGTGTTTATAGAGTCATAGTTTGTTGTGTATTGACTATTGAGAAAACAGAATAAACATGTCAACTAGTAACTTTAAGCCGGACACACAAATGGATTAACTGGTTACGAAGAGTAAAGATCCGAGTGATGAAGACAACACTGAAAGTGTCAGAGATATTTAACTAAATCAGCAAAAAGATGTCCAAACATTTACAATGTCTTCACATGGATTTTCCAGTTGATAAATTATGCCAAAAATAAGCCCAGAAGCTTCTCTTCATTGTACTTTGCTGACAGATTTTAAAAAGCCTTTCCAGTGGTCCAACAGATTTGTAGTGATTTATGTGATACGCTGTCCAAATTTGTCCCACTTATAGTCTTCAAAGCAATGCTATTTTGACCTTTGAGAAAAATTGGACTAATAAAGGTAACTGTTTTCCTTTCTTTTTCAGAAGCGTTTCCAGAAGAACATCTGTGCCTTCAGCACTAATCCAACGAGAGTAGCCTTTAAAACAAAGTTGGAGTTCATCTGTCATCTGTCATTTCATGTATGGATTCTGAAAGATTGGAATCTCTGTAGTTATTACCAGGGTGGAAGTGTCTGGATGTGGGTGTTACAGAAGGTCATGTGATCAGGATGTGTGCAAAACATAACTTACTGCAATAAGACTGATAATATTGATAAATTAGAATAATATAATAATCCTGAACAACCAATTGTTGTTTTACTCAGAAAGTTAGCAAAACGTCTTTAGCTTTAGTTAGTCTTCGATTAATGCCAAGGTTGTGTGAGGCAAAAAAAATAATAATTTGAATAGTATTAAAAATCACAAAATTTCTTTGTGAAACTCAAATTTCCCATGAAGTCTGGTCCACTTTAGAGCTTATTATGGCCATGCATGAACTGAAAAGTCAGGTTTTTCAGTTAGTCAGAATCCAAAAATGTACTGTATAAACACCAAGTAAATAAGAGATTTATTTTGTAGCCAGGTCTGACAACTGAGCTAACTCTTAACTGAAGTGATTGACATCTTTAGTGATTATAAAGGGAGCACTCGTTATGTTTTTCTTACTGCTAACAGAATCAGCGGCCATGTACTGTACAAAGTGTAGAGAGTGATAATCACATTTAAATGCAGCAATGAATTATCATTCCTTGTGTCACTCCCAAAATTGGGATGATTGAGAGTGATAATCATAGCAACAGATTGGACAGAAAATCGAATATGTCATAATAGATCTGTGCATTAAGTCTTGCAGTGTACATGCAAATGCAAAAATGTAATGCAATATTTGCCACAGCAATACTTAAAACACGAAAACAGAGCCGTGATGGCTGAATTATTAAAAACACTCTTTTTTTTGTTTTAAGTTTTATTCTGACACTTGTTATTATTACTTGGGTTTCACTTTATTTTGATGGTCCCTTTATTTGCCGAGTATTAGACTGGTAGGGTTAGAGTTAGTATAAGTTGGCATGCACTTGCAAAGTTACTTATAATCTTTAGAAAGTCTGTTGGGAGTCCATCACAAGAAAGATTTAGCACATATTAAGCAGACAGTCTACTAATACTCTAATGAGAGTTATAGACATGTTGGTGCAGCGTTATATTTATTGTCAACAGAGTGTTCAAAAGGGACTATTAAAATAAATTGTTACCAGTATTAGTAATTATCACTAATAATAACTTTTATTTATTTATTTCAAATAATTTTATAAAATAGTTAAATAGTCAAAGGGTATTTTCCAACAGGTTTTGCTGGTATAGAAATTGGTACAAGTGAATTGGAAAATTGTACTGTTATTTTTGTGTTTTGACTACACTAGTACAACAATAACCTAATTTTCAATTAGTACATTAAATATGTGGTGTAGATGTGCAATATTTAAAAATATTTTGTCACAGATCACACATCACATCAGTCAAACATGGTGATGACAGCATTATATTCTGAGGAACTAGAAAGCTTGTTTGTACCAAGGACAACATGGACAAAACAAATACACAAACATCCTTGAGCAGAATCTGGTTTAGTCAGCCCAACATCTGCCTATAAGCCAAGATTTACTTTCCTGCAGGAAAATAAATTTCCCGTCCTTCAACACAGGAGGATTATTGAAAACAAAACACAAATCTTTGCAGCGGTTTTCTGCTTTAATCAATCAACAAAAGCAGAAACAAGAATGTCTCCACAGATTCCCAAGAGATCGCACACACTTTCTCTTTCTTTCATAGCTGAGAATGTCACATTCAGTTAAACGCATGCCAGATATCTACCGGTGGGCCTTTAAACCAGTGTGACTAAGATGATCCAGCACATCTGGTCTTTAATCAGCCAAAGAAGACACACATCACACCCCTCCTGATCTCACTCCACTGGCTCAATGCAAGGTTTTGATGCTGACTTTCAGGACAGCCACTGAAACGGCACCTCCCTACCTCCACTCCTGCAAGTTTATTTTCTCTTCTCCAGCTTAGGTCACTGAATGAGCAACGCCTTTTTGTTTCTTCATAATGAGGCTAAAAGTTACTTTCCAAAACCTCTGTTCCTCTCTGGTGGAATGAAGCTGCCAACCTCCATCCAGACTGCTGAGACCATCACATCTTTTAGAAAGCAGCTGAAAACATTTCTGCTTTTTTCTTGTTTGCTTCCTCGTCTAATTTTCTGATAAACCTGGAACTTGTCTTGTTGTCATAATTGTTGGAAGTCATAGATGAAAATTAAACTCAATATTGGCCAACCCTAGATTTTTATAGGATGAAAACACTGTATTAAACCATAGTAGATCTTTCTGGATTTTGGAAAGTATAAATTTGTCAAGAAATCCTGTACACTTGCAAATACAATCTCTAAGTATTAGAGTTGTGCAGAAGTGAAAAATAATTATACTTAAATTTATTTGAAATACATTTATTTCATGCTAAGTATACTACAAATACATTAACATATTTATGTACTTAAAAATGCACTGCAGTTGTACTTTTGGTATACTAAACTGATAATATATTTAAAGTCTACTAAATTGGAACAACTAATTTTGTACTTAATGCACTTTTAATTGTGCAGAAGTAATGCTGAAGTCCAACTAAAGATACAAGTATATTTGATTGTGCTAAAGTGGAACTATTGCAAGTATACTTCAGGTACACTTTAAATGTCTTGCATTTAAAGACTGATATTATTCAAAGATCATACAATCTCATACATAGTCACATTAAAACACATTTTAGGCTTAATATTACGAAATGTGCATTGTTGCACAAGTCAACCCGTTCTCATCAGTCTGCATTGGCATTTGGCGTATGCATTACACGCAATTAGAAAGTGTAAAGTCGTTTTATTTATACGCAGACTGATGAGAACAGGTTGCACAAGTAGTACTCCAAATAAAGTTAAATTATAATTTTTACATCAGTGAGTCCTAAGCGATGTGTCAGAAAATATGTTAATAGATTTGAACTACTTATGAAAGATTAAATTTTTTACAAAATTCAGATGTTAAGAAATGGACAAAAATTGATGACTGCTAGTTATTTGCATCCTGTTTGTTAACTCTCTGTGAGTTTTCCTGAGCCTCACCATGTCTTTGATACTGCCCAGTACAGCAGTGGTCAGGATTCCACACACGAAGGCCAGCAGGTTAAGTGTGGTCAGGACCCAGAGGAGAACATACAGAGAGAGGACCTCCTGACAGCTCTGCACACCAACAAACTCATAGTAATTGTTCAGATATCCTCCACTGAAAAAGAAAGCAAGAAATCATTGTCATGGTATTATTATGTTTATGTGCTATTAACTTATTGATACTAGAGATTCTCAAGAAAGTGTAGGTGGTTCATTGCCGTGCAAAACTCACTGTCTGTAGTGCAAATGGTATGAAATGAATTTTATTATGACAACGCTGCTGCTGCAAAGCAATTACACTTACAGGAACTTGCTACTGCCAATACATACGCCGATATGGTGCTGTGAGTATTTGAGACATACTGCTGCTGCACAAATAACATATATAATAACTAGGGCTGGTAAGCGATTAAAATCTTTAATCTAATTAATTACATGATGTGGCGATTAATTAATCTTAATTAATTGCAAATTAATCGCACATCAAATTTGGCTGAAAAATTACTCCCAAAAGATCATTTAAAGTCATTGTTGTGTAAAGCATCAAACAGACATTACAAAAAGTAGCTTCAGCAAGAAATATTTTGTTTGATAAAATTTATTACATATACTCTTTTGGACCACGAGGGTGAGTAAATGATGACACAATTGTCATTTTTGGGTGGGTGAACTATACCTTTAATAAATTATTTTATTCATTTTATTATTATTACTATGGAAATATGAAATTATTTCTTTAATGAAATGATACTCTAAATAATAAACTAAAACTGCCAGTAGGTGGTGGTAAATGTCTTAATTATTAAGTCATCCAGTCATTTATTCATTCATATGATTCGTTCAAATGGCTGATTCATTCAGTAGTGAAGTAAATGGTTCTTTATCAATGGTCCATTGAAAGCTATAGAGAGCAGACGGCTCCTTATGCTTTTGAATCGCTCTCTCGCGGTACTTTGATGTCATACACCGATCGATCTGTGCAGCGTCGCTTCAAATCCAACGCGCCTATGGCCAATGGTTCAACGCGCCAAATGGTTCACCCAATTCGTTCAAAATGTGCATTAAGAAATTAAATGCTGCTGTGTGTTGCTCGGAGACAAACAGTTCTGCTTTGTCTTTATATTTTCGTTAGCAAAATTGAGCAAAACAGACAACATTGTGTCTAAAATAACACAATATTAACTTCTTACTTACTGAACTGTTGTATAAGATCAGTATCACACTTGCACTTGTGTGATATTGCACTTAGCCTGTTGCTTGTGTGATATTGCTTAACTATATGATGTAAATATGAGACAAAAACTCAAACTGGGGCATTTTTGCCCCATATCTTGAATTTTAGGGACATTCTAACTATGTTCTCTAGGCTCCATCACGCAGTAAGTTGTTGCCCTGCCTCGTATTTGTCATCAGTCAACTGTATGAAATGTCAGATGACCCACGTAGGTCTGGGGTGGGGCAAGTGCGTTAAATTAGTTAATAATTTTAATTCATAATTAATTAATCTAATTAACGCGTTAAATTACCAGCCCTAATAATAACCTGTAGCAGATCTATACAGGTGGAGCTGGGGAAGTGGAGGGATTCAGAGGAACTCTCAAAGCACACTGCGAACTGCTCTAGTGAATGCTAACCAGCCATTTATATGTAAAGCAGCAAGCTCATTGGTTGCATATGCAAAATAAACCAATCAGCTTGTACCAAGTAGTTTAACACTGTGAATATCATCAGTTTGCGTTAAGGCGCCATCAAGAGTTTTATGACAGAACTTGGCATTTATATGCTATTTTTAATACTCATAGTTAGAGATTTGAACCCTTAACTCAAAGTATGAATAATAGTAATAGAGATACTTGCAAAAACTAGAAAAAATACTACTAAAAGAGTGAAATTCATTTTTGGTTTCTTTGATGCTCTGCAGTAGACAAATAACAACTCGTATTGCATTATTGTTGAGTTTTTCCTTAAAGTGTCTGTTTCTTCACCAATACTTACTTGGCGCAATCATACAAATCACAACAGTAACACGTTCCACTCCGAACATTCATATTACATGACTCCGTTAGTCCTTGACAGGGAACCTACAAAACAATTGAGCATCTTTTAGAAATAAAACGCTATATACAAAACTCACTTTTTTATACAAACAAAATGTTTTGTGCACACAATTTCATTCAGCTGCACTCTAATTATAACTAACTACTGTTATCAAATTATGATGCTAAATTAACTGCATGTAATAGCTCAGAGATCACAGCATCAATTCATCCACCAAGGAACTAAATCAACTTAAAACAGGACTTTAGTCCTCATCAAAAACCTGGTTAAAAGACAGCTATTTAGGTGGGCATTTTTACAGGTAGGCATACAAATATATTTTAAAGAGCTGAACATAGAAATCAGGAGGACTTGACTCACTGTAGCGTAGTAGTTCTCATAGATGTAACTATTTCCACTGGTGTAGAACTGACATCTTCCTGCCCTCATTGGACGCATATCCTGTTGAGAGTGTAAGAAATGTCTTCAGTTTGACGTTTTCTTCTGCAACTGCATTGAAACATTTTTTTCTTTAATACAATGCCTTTCTACCACTACTATCTACAACCACTACAAAAACTTCGGGGGGAAAAATCTATTTCTTTCTTTTCTCTACATTTCCACTCTGCCCTAGCTTTTACATTGCTCATAAATGTAAATGAGAAGCTCAAAGTGGGCATTTCTTATCACACCGAGAGTTTTCCCTCAAACTCAGTCCATCATTCTGCTCTTCATGAGTCACATTCATGCTGTTAAGACAGATGATCTGACCGCTGAAATACTAAAGAGTTCAGTGAACTCCTCATCTCTCCAAATGCAGCCCTTGGATTTTGACACTGAAAACTGAACATGTTATGTAGCCAGCTGAATAAACATAGTCATTAGGTTAATAAGACTTTGACTTAAGAACTTTGATAACCTCTTGGCTAACTGTTAGTTGGTCATACGTCTTACTTTTTGGTATAAAATTAGACCAAACTATGTTTTTATGTGTGTAAACGGTTTTAAAGAAACATTTTAATCATTAAGGGCCAGATTTACTAACAACTTACGCCAGCGCAAACCCTCTTTTGACATTAAAAATCTATGTTTAGGATTAATTAAAGACACGGTGAAAATTAGGTGTGAACACAGTCATTTTTGCGGCTGACCTTATTGCATATGCATTTGCAGGAGTTTCCTTTTCAGACGCAAAGTTTATGAGAGGGTGTTTAAATGAATCATGCAACTCCATTTACTATGGTTTGTGCCAGTCAGTTTACTGGTATTTGTGGCATTATTTACTTCCCCAAAAGCATGTCTTAATCCAGCTAATTTGCGCTGCTCTTGGTAGATTGTGTTGGTCATTATGAAAATTATCCGTCTGCGTCTATGTTCTTTTATTCATGAAATGTCAGTAAATCACCCGCAGAACTTTCCACTCATATCTGCACTTTTATGGGATTGTGCTCTCACGCTAATTTGCCCTGTTAGTAAATCTGGCCCTAAATTGTCTATATCTCCAATATAGTAGTGGTTGCTTGGGTATTCTTTTTGCCTGATGCTGCATTGATAAGATGTTCTGAACGGTCGCTAGGCAGTTGCTAAGGTTGTTTCTATGTAAAAATGTTTCATAGTTGCTGTACTTACAATGTTGAGCAGGATGAAAATGCCATCAACCACAAGACACAGGAAACTGGAAATTATACCAAAACTCAGGAACACAATGGCTGCAATCAGCTGGACAGAGAAAGAAAAATGGATTACAGATACAAATGTACATTTGAGTTGACAGCCAAAAAAGATGCAGGCTTTATTTATTTATTTATGGTACATTTTCCCCAATATTAATGACCTGGAATATATATTTTTTTATTTTGATCGAAAAATAAATAATGCAATAATAAATAATAAAATATAAATAATACATAATAAGACAATATAATATATACATATAAACATTTATAATACATTATTGCTTTGATTAAATACCAAACGTGTTAACATAGAACACTCACATAAAGCAGTACTGCACAACAAGAGATATTATTGCATGGCAATGATCACAGTCATCTTAAATAATTGTGACCTAATATTGCAGTATATAAAACAGCTTTATTTGGCATGAACTGTACTGTAGTAAATACCTTTCCTAGTAAATGCATATACTCATACATGTCCACATTCACACAGTCTTTGTCCTTGTCCAAAGCTGACAAATTTTTATGTGATTCCTGGGGGCACAACAAAAACTCATCCGGCTTTGAAACTAACCATAAATTACGTATAACTGACAATAACTCAACCAAATGGCGTAGTGTATTTTTTTAACATGCAATATGATATCCACAGGGACACATCTCTTCTCAGCTGATCAGAGGCAGACTGCCAAAAGAAGCTCAACTCACCAACAGAGAAACAGATGTACATACAGAGAAAAGGAGAGCCCGGAAGAGAGGAAGTGAACAGAGACAGTAAATGGACGCACTGTATATAAAGGTCAACAGAAAGAGGAAGGAAGATGAAAGGACAATGTCCACACTTAGGACCTGTGCTTCTTGTTCAGTTTAGTGAAATCTATAGCAGATGTGAATTACAGTTCAAAGATGGGAATGAGGACGACATTCAAATTAAACGAGACATAAACCAGCATACATTTTTGTCCAAATAATAGACTTTTGGTATGACTATATGTGTTGTTTTCAATTGACTCTTCGTTAAGCTCTGCCTTGGGGCAGAATCTTGTCTCACCAATGGCAGATGTCCAGAATGTTCAGAAACCTGTTTAAAAACAGTTCTATCATGACAACTTTCGGAGGGTTTGGAATGGTAGTGTACATGACAATGTTAATGTGTTTGGTCTTGGTGGAATAGATCTGCTGCTGATGCTGCTGCAGAAGAACAAGTACCGAGACTTGATACTGCCAATACATCCACAGACATGCTGCTGTGAGCATATAAGTAATATAACATATATGAAATGATCCCCATATATAGCATACATGATTCACCCTGTAACAGATCTATACAGGTGGAGCTGGGGAAGGTGTAGGGTTTCTGAAGCACTGCTACAGCAAGCACTAGCTAAGTATTTGAATGTTGAGCAGCGAGCTCATTGGCTGCTGATACAAAAAGAACCAGCTGCGCCATGTAATAAAAAATTGTCTGCTCTCAAGTGATATTTAACTTTTTGTTGTCTTCACATATCAGATGCAACATATTTCTCTCCAAAACATTATAATGTGTTACATTATTGATGTAGGGGGAAGTGGAAATGGTGGAATGGTCAAATATTTAGAAATTTACATAAATAATTTTCATACAATAAATATTTAAAATAAGTTTATTAGATACTCTCATATTCAAAGAACAAAAAGCGAATTTGAATGTGATTAAATTTGATTGTTGAATTTAAATCCTGGAACATAAAAGTGTCTAAAGAAACACCAAAATGTTGCTTTGAGAATGAGGCTTTTCATTTTCATTTTCCAATTTTTCCTATCTCAACATTTGCTTTTTTTTTCAACTTTAATTTAAATTATGTTGGCTTAAAGTATGTCAGCCACCAGCATACCAAACTGCCTCAAAGAACTGCTTCAGATGGCCGTTTAAAACTTTTTTTTCCTATAATGACAACCACTGAAGCTTGAAGAAACATCACATCATTGTGAAAATGTCACTGGTTTTGTTCTATGACTGCCAGAAATACTGAAGAATACATGCAATGTTTCCCAAGAGCTTTAATTATCACAACATTAGGCTTGTTTTAATGTCTGTCAGGGTTAAGAGTTCTTCAGGGCAGAAGGATATTTGTCGTTTAGAGCTACCAATGCATCATTTGTTTTTGATTATGTGATTATAGGTCTCCAAAACAAAGTTCGGCATATGACAAACAAAGTTTTATTGGTGATTATCTAATGTATCACATTTTATCAGCAACTATGAAAGAATTTATTTAAGATAGTTTTATTCATTTAAGGTGAAATAATTGTTTGTTGGTGCCAGCGAACTTACAGTGCCAAGCTCTGAACTCAAGTTATTTCAACAAAGTAGCACATGAAAACAAAATTCAAAAGCACAATAAAAGTTGTAGCAAGATGTGGTACATTAGCTTTTTTAGACCTCACACCATCTGTTTTTATCAAATCACTTAGCTACTATTATCTCTCTCTTTTTTTTTTTTTTTTGGTTGGAACCTCATGATAAATAAATAAATAGCTATTCCAATCTAGCCTTTTAAATCTAGTGTAGTTATTTGGGGGAAAATAATTAATAATTGTATTCTGACCTATGACTACTGTAGTGTTAGACATGGAATTTATCTGAGATTCAGTTATGTCATCGGGCAACTAAAGGAAAACAGTTATGCAAACAGGCCCAGATCAGTGTGGAACAGCATGGTTTTGCAAAATGAACTGTCTGTGGGCAGGATTCTTTTTAAATTTAAATATACGCATTTTTAAAGACAAATAAGTGATGGGGAACAGGAGCACCATTCTGAAATCAATAAGAAATTCAAAGATCAAAAAATCTTATTTGCATCAACCAACAGCCATGTCCACATTAGAACTTATTTCTGATCATAAAAACGGTAGGACTTTCTTTCTTCTGTGCAACATAGAAGATATTCTGAGAAGTGTCTCAGTGCCTTTTCTCCAAACAATGGCAGTCAATAGTCACCACAGCTTTAGTTACCAACACCTTTCAAAATATGCACTTTTGTGCTCTGCAGAAAGAGAAAGTCTATGAAACAACATGAGGGTGCGTAAATGACGACAGAATTCATGTATCCTGTTACTGTTCTTCATAAACTGCAGTATCTCAACAGCTTGTCCAAAAAACACAGGTTCTGCCTGTCCAGAGAAACACTCTCGCGGAATAGGAGTCTATAGCCTTTTAAATGACTAAATACACTCTCCCTGGAATAACAAATGTTTTCTGGTCCATGAAATCTTTTTCATCAATACATTGGAATTATGGGCTATGAAATTCCCATCTGCTCTGAAACATTCTTCTCATCTGTCTGGACACTTCATGCTGTACAAAATGTTCTTTCTCCACCTCACCCTGCGTTTATGTTTTCCTCTTTCACAGATGTGTAACAGTCCGTATCTTGTTTAAGCCTTTTATGTTAGTAGCATCTTTTCCAGATATGGTCAGCATGCCACTGAAGCTGGACCATGATGAGCAGAGACAGACTTTTGGCTCTCCTGAAAGTTTTCCAGTCAATTCTCATGCCTCCTCCACCCAGAACAAGCTACCAACCAACTAGTAGTACTGCACAGCAATGCCCTAGAATGGTGGCATTTTACATGGGCAAGCAGCACTCACATTAAATATCTAGTTTCTCTGTAGTTCACATTAAGCCTTTCCTGTGACCCCAGTAAATCTGTCAGTGATGTAAAATGTAGTTTATGCTGGAGCTGAGTAGACGGACGGACACCAGGCCCATAAACACTGGGCAGGAAATCAGCTCATGCTGTGTCTGCACTCCGTTTAGTACAGTGACCCTTCAAGTACAAGAAGCAATGGTTCTGCAATTTCCAAAAGCACAAGTTCTGGAGGCCCAGACGGAAACAAAGTGTGCCAAATTTGCCTGAAACACCAATCTGGAGCAAATCCTGAGGCTTGGATATGTATCTGTCCCACTACACCCTTTTAAATCTTTTTTTTAAGTAGGAAATTTAAATGTTCTGATAAAAGTGGTAATAGCGGTATACATAAACTAACTAACAGCTACAAAGATACAATGTTCTGGGTGGTAGCAATGTACCATGCATTAAAATATGGGTGGTCTGCTTAATTTGGAGTATTTTCCTGAACATCATTATTGTATTAAAGAAAATTGTTTTCTGTTGATGCATGCAAACATATTTTGGTCAAGAATAAAATGGATTGTGTTACATTGCAAAACAGTATGCATCTGTGAATCATTAAAGAACCCACTATGTTGGTGGTTATGCTCTATCAACGACACCTCTGAAATGCTGCTGATTATCACAGACAATAATTGTGTCCATCATTTTGTAAAAACAAGCAAAAACATGTACAATACAGTACAGTGGAAGTCTATGGGGTCATAACACTAAACTAAACTCATCCTGCTGGAAAAAGGAAAATTTGCACAAACAATAAACATGGTTTTATGAAACATTTAATGAATGGGCTTCAACAAAAATGCAGGCTGCACATTTCTTCCAGAATGTCTTGCCTGACTTCCATTATAAGTGTGTTACTACCCTTTGAAAGAAAAAAAATAGCAGATAATGTACTATTAATGAAATAAAAGGCCACTTCAGCATACTTAAAGAGTACACTTTCATGACTGTTTCTTAACAAACTTAAGTATACTTTCACAAAGTGCACTTTTCAAAAATGTAAAAATGTCATTGTTTTAATAATATTTTGTCATTCTTTAAAGACATACACTTATTTTTATGTGTTGACAGATTTTGTAGAAGATTTTCAGGGATCTTAATTCAATATAATACATATAATTATGCCTATAGAGAAGACGACATTATTCTACAATTATTATTTAAAAAGACTATGTGAAGTAACTGTGGGTTAAAAGCTGCAGTGAAAGAACTGAGTGAATTATTTAAAACTTGAAGACCCTGCATATATGGAAAGAATCTGTTCAAGACCTAGAAATATACATGACAGCTATTGATCATTCTATATATGGTAAGAAACACCTGTCTAAAAATACAACAATACATATATGGAATTATGTAACCAGCTCCAGGCACATATATATATCTGTGTAGAAAAGACATTCGGGAGTTGCCTTTGCAAACCGTAACTCGGCTTTGTTGTTTGATCAATAAAGTCTACTGGCTTCAAAACCTCTTTAGCAATTTCTTTTGAACAAGGAAAATTCCACAACAATTTTAACTGTAGTGTGTTATTTGACAGTAAATATAAATTAGAAATATTTTAAATGAAAATCTGCTTTAAAAATGTACTCACACTCAGGCTTTCCAAAATGTAGATGAATTTGTTTCTTCATCAAAACAGATTTTGAGAAATGCGGCATTACACCACTTACCCACCAATGGATCCTCTGCAGTGAATGGGTGCCGTCAGAATGAGAGTTCAAACAGATGATAAAAGCATCACAATAATTCACAAGTAACCCACATGACTCCAGTCAATCAATTAATGTCTTGTAAAGTGAAAAGCTGCATGTTTGTATAAACAAATGAATTAATTAGAGATGTTTTTAACTTCAAACCATTGCTTCTGGCTAACATATGAGTCCTCTATCCACAATATTGCTTTCTCTAGTGAAATAGTTGTCTCGTTTGAATCAGGAGAAATATGCGCAGATTAAGCAACATTTATAAGCGAAAACAGTTTGAAAAAAAGATGTTGGTGGATTTTGATTTGAGAGGAGAACAGATGATGGACTTTTTCACTGCAGGATGCATTATTATTAATTATGCAGTTTTCATTTAAACAAATTTTAATTGATAGCCTGGAGTCGTGTGGATTACTTGTGGGTTATTGTCATACTTTTATCCACTGTTTGTACTCTCATTCTGACGGCACCCATTCACCGCAGAAGATCCATTTGGTGAGCACTTGATGTAATGCTTAATTTCTCCAAATCTGTTCAGATGACTAAACAAACTCATCTACATCTTGGACGGCCTGAGGGTTAGTACATTTTTAGCAAATTTTGATTTTTAGGTGAACTATTCCTTTAACCTGTCAAGGCAGATCAATGTAGACCTTGATATCAATGATTTATATTTTGTACTTTCATAGCTGTTACGTCACTAAAGCCTTGTTCAGACTGTCAGTCCAGATCTGTTTTTTGTGAATATCTGACTGGAATCAGATCGTATTTAGCTGGTCTGAACAGCAAAAATCATGTGAAATCTGATTTTGTGTAGCTTTTTGCCTATGTCACTTTCTCACGCCACGTAAAATGTACAGTAAACACATCAGACATTGTCAAACATTAAAATCAGATTCCAATCGGATATGTCACTTCGACTGACAGTCTGAACAAAGCTTACAGTTTTTTTAACTACTTACACACATTTTCAAAACATTGCCTCTTTTTTTTCAAAACTTTACACACAAATCCAAGAATTTCACACACAAAATGCACAATGCCTCACATCTCTTGCAAAATGAAGCACTGCATTCAAAATAATGCATTCAAAATAATATGGTTTTGCAGTTTTGGTGTGTGGTTCTGGTGTTTGAGTGTCAGGTTTCAGAAATTGTGTGATAAGTAAAGATTTTGAGTGCAAGCAGTTGAAAAAAAAAACTGTAATTCACCCAGCAGCATCTTGGGCTGTTTCTAAGCAGTAATTGGAGTAACCCTGAATTCACCTGCATTACTAGAAGAAATCAACAGTCCCCATAAGGATGCGGGCTTAATAATGTCTCAATTAAAATGCAAGAAATGCAGAAAAGTTTGTGTGAGGGTTAGGTTTTGGAGTTGGGTTAGGTGATGGAAAACATAAGCTAAGTGTAAAGACAATAAAAGTCAATGGAAAGTCCCCACCAAAAACCAGATGTGTGTGTGTGTGTGTGTGTGTGTTTGTGTGTGTGTGTGTGTGTTTGTGTGTGTGTGTGTGTGTGCAGGTTTGATTACTTGTGAGGGCCAATCTTTTGAAAATGCACTCACAAATATAGAGAAACATGTCAGAAACCCAACTGCGAGGACATTTAAAGTGTCCACGCTATTTGATCGGCTCATTAATTGGACAAATTATGTTTTTCATTAAATCTGCTACAGGTTTGTGTGAGGGTTAGGTTTAGAGGCAGGACTGATCTTATCAAACCTTTGAAACCAGTGTGAAATTCTGAACAACTGTGCGCGCTCTTAGCTATATACATGACAAATACAGTAGTCTCCTTTCTGATCATTTTGCATAGAATTTATGGTTTTTTGAAATTCCATATATTTCAAACATTTAAACACAAGTCACTAAAAATTATGAACTTTTAAAAACAATTTATGAAACATCACTGAACATCATTTGGCAGATCTGTGGTATAAAAACAAATATATTGTGTTTTTAAATGTTTATGCTTCACATATTTGCACTTTGGAAGCGTGAGATTAGAAAGTTTTCTTAGCCAAACCAAAGAGAAAGGAAAAATAAAAAGGGTACATATTTTGTGAACCATAACTAGAAATGACCATGGCAGGATGATAAGGTATTATGCTGATCAGGATCATAAAACAGGAAGACAAACCCCAACTGAAAATGTTACATTGTGATATCTACCAGCTGCTTGCGGTTTTCCTCCAGGCATAGTCCAAGAACTCCCAAGAATGATCCAAATGCCAACTGCAATCAGTAGACAGACATGAATGTAAAAAGAGAAACAAATGATGCAAAATACTCTAGAGAACATAAGCATGACCGTACGAGCACTGGGAATCATTATCATGGTTTCAATTCGTTTCAAGCTAAATGATTTATGGCATTCACTTTATGTTTTTTTTCAAGCTTAAATGACAAGAAAATATGAAGGGGAAGTCTGAAACAAAAATATTTCAAGGATCATGAGATCCTTATGTGTTGTGGAACACATAACCTACCCTCTCCTCAACATCATGCTCATAACTAATTGTAAGATCCAATCACTTTGGATGCAAAACTTCTTCATGGCCATCAACTTATGAGAGGTGACACACTGTAGCTATACTCATAGTCCAAGTCTCCAGCAGGGTATCTGCAGGAGTTGTGGAAAGTTTCACAGACCATCCAAGTTCACATATGGAAAAGAGATGTTTTGGTAACACAGTATGCGGTTTACTTCTCACTGTCAGACTGATTTTATTGTGTTCTTTTTCCTGCTGTGAACCCATTGATAATATTTGACATTGTATCAACAAGAAGCCCCTTGTTTATAATGTCTGAACAGCCTTGAGCTCACAGATGAAGTCACTAATGCAATTCATTAATTGGGAAAATGCAAGTTTGAGTATTACTAAGATGCAACCACTTACACTTCTAGGATTGGTTCATAAAAATGGGGGGAAATTCTGTCGTTATTTACTCATGTTATTCCAAACCTGTAGGACGCAAATGAAGACATTTTTTTTAAATAGTTTTTAAGTTTTAAAAAGGATGCATTGTATAATAAAAGTGTAATATAAATTTGTATCAATTCATGGACAATCTCTTTTGGACCAATCCAAGAGATATTGTCAGTGAATTGAGGGGTGCATGGCCAAAAATACTTAAAAAAAGGTACAAATTGAGTCCCACACGATTCAATTAGGGACATTTAATACTTACATACAAGATTATTCTGTATTATACAAATACAGAAAGTATTATTCTGTGATGGCTGGCAACCTTAGTTATAGTCCTAGGTGTCATAATAGCGCTACAAATAAGACGGTGCTTGGCCATTGACTGCCTTGTACTCTAGAAGTGTTTTGAACCTGATTCTAGCAGTGACAGGGAGCCATTGACATGAAACAGACATGCATTGTGGCGTGGAAGTACATGGGAAGCTTGAACAGTCAGTCTGAAGTATTCTGGGTAAGCTGCACAGGTCTCCTCATATGCTGGGAGACCGGCCAGGAATCAGTTGTAGTAGTAAGAACAGGTCTCGGCTAAAGTTCTGGTTAGCATGTGGGGTGCAAATGACAGGTTCGGCAGAGGATCGCAGGGCTCGGATGCGAGCGAGCTTACGTCGGCTCAAGTCCTACGTGCCTCGCTCTCTCAAACACAGAGAGGCTTCCCCCATCCTCTTCACCCAGCCTGTCCAGCGTCCCTCTGCCAGCGCGAGCGATCTGGTCTTGTTCGGTGTCATTAGCAGCCTCGGTTGCGGAGGAGCTGTCAGGCTCGACTGCCAACCCTGCCCCCTGCCGTCGTCCGAGCACAGCGATGTTAAGCCCGGGATGGACGCCGAATTACTCCGTGTCCTCTCGAAAGCCGTCGAGGAGCTGGGATTGGAGTTGTCTCCACCGGAGGAGCCCTCCTGCAGCCGTCTGGATGAGTGGTTCCTGCCGGGGAGCCGTCAAGCCCCTCGTCAGTGATCCTCTCCTTTTTTCCCGGAGGTCCATGATGAGCTCACCAGGTCGTGGCGTGCCCCATACTCTGCACGTCTCCATACTTCCGCTTCATCCGCCCTCACTTCGGTGGACGGTGCTGAAGATAGTGGATATGAGAAGCTGCCTCCGCTGGACGAGTCAGTGACCGTGCATCTCTGCCCGCCCACTGCTATTGGATGGAAGGCAAAGGCCACCTTTGTAGGACAACTTCAGCCCTTGCTGGACGCGCCTACTCCTACTCAATGGCGGTCCTCCAGGTCTTCCAGGTCAAACTCCTCGCCAGCACGGATGAGTCTGACCCAGACCCAGCGACGCTCAGGGAGCTGAGAAGTGCGACGGACCTGGCTTTGCGCGCCACCAAAGCTAGGGCTCAGGCTATAGGGCGTTCCGTGGCCAGTCTGGGGGTGCTCGAGCGCCACTTATACCTTGACGGAAATCAAGGATGTCTGTTTGAGCCAGCAGTCGAAGGCTTCGCTGAGCGTTTCACCCTAGCCATGCGACACTTTCTGCAAAAACGCTCTAGCTCTGCAGCTGCCTCTAGTTGCCCCAAGTCTTCGCAGCCTCAGCAGCCCGCGAAGCCTGCACCTGCGGCTACCGCCGCCCAGCCAGCCATGCCTGAGCCTCGATGACGTTCCCGCTCGGCCAAACGCTACCCATTTCCGAAGCACCAGGGACCCCGGCCCAAAATAGCACTGGACCCTGCGCCTCAGGCGTCGTCCTGATCTACGGGACAGAAAGAGGAAGGGGTCAAGTCTCGCTGCAGCCGGACCTACCCCCAAGCTGCCTCTGTTAAGCTGCCAATCACCCCGTCCAGTTCCGGGTGCAGTCGGCGATGTGTTTGCTGCAAACTCTGGGCCCGTTCAAGCGCCCAAGTGGCGATCTGCTGTTATAGCGGGCAGATTAAAACACAAACATTTTCAAAAAGAGAGCAGATTTCCTCTTCCAGTTCTCACGAGTACCGTGTCCTCTTGCAGCGACCAGGCACTCGAACCAATCCAACCCCTGACTTCCCGGGAAGAGGCATGGCAAGCCATCCCCGGAGTGTCAGAGTGGGTTCTGGGGATACAAAGCGAGGCTATTCACTTCAATTCACTTGAAGACCCCCACGTTTCAGCAGGGTGGTCTCCACTTTGGTTCAGAGCAAGGACGCACACGTCCTGCGCTCCGAAGTGAAAAATCTGCTGGCAAAGGGAGCCATAGAGGCGGTTCCTCCAGCTCAGAGCGAGTTAGGCTTCTACAGCCATTACTTTTTCATCCCCAAGAAGGATGGCGGCCTGCGGCCCGTGGCATATCTTTGATCTTAGACGCCTGAGGCACTGTCCACACGAACGTGGTTATTTTTAAAACAGCAGCTTTTTCTACACGGTTTGGCCGTTCGTCCACAAGCAAACGCAGCACCAGGTCACTGAAACCGAATATTTTTGAAAACTTCTGCCAGGGTGAAGATTTTCAAAACCTCCGGTTGCAGTGTTATCGTGTAGCCAGCGAAACCGGAGTTTTTGGCTTGTGACGTCAGAGCCTGCGCTGTTATCGCCGCCTACTGGAAACTATTTCAGGCTTCTGATTGGCCAACATGGCTTTATGGTTGAGATTATATCGCCACCTGTTGGTTTGGCATGCTCTTGACAGTGCTTCATAACATGTGTTTGCGTTTTCATGTGGAGAGATTTTTTTAAAAACGGAAGAAGGAAAAACGTTTATAAAAATACCCGTTTACGTGTGGACATGGCCTGAATCACGCCCTCATGAAACGGCCGTTCAGGATGACTACACTAAAGCAGATCCTCTCGCAAATACGCCAAGAGGACTGGTTCTTGTCTCTGGACTTGAAAGACGCCTACTTTCACATCCAGATAGATTCTTGTGATTAGCCTTCGAGGGAGTGGCTTATCAATACACGGTCTTTCCCTTTGGACTGTCCCTGGCTCCACGCACTTTCACGAAGTGCATGGATGCAGCTCTTTCCCCTCTGAGGCAGAAGGGAGTCCGCATTCTCAATTACCTCGATGACTGGCTCGTTCAGGCTCAGTCGGAGGCGGAGTCACTATCTCACAGAGCCCTCCTCCTCAGCCACTTAGAATGCCTGGGGCTCTGGGTCAATTTTGCCAAGAGTGCACTGTCCCCCAGCCAACGAGTGTCGTTCCTGGGAACAGTGTTTGACTCAATCCAAATGAGAGTGGTGGTCGCGACAGAGCATGCTCTGGTCATACAGCAGCTCGCGGCTTCCTTCAAGGCCGGTGCCTCTCGCCACCTCAAGGCTTTTCAAAAGATGCTGGGACTTATGGCCGCAGCGTCTCCAGTGCTACAGTTGTGCCTGCTTCGTATGCGTCCCCTTCAGTACTGGCTGAAACAGCGGGTTCCATCCCATGTGTGGCATCATGGACGCCTGCTTATCGGAGTACCACCACTCTCATTTGGGCCCTGACCCCTTTGAAAGAATGCTCAGTGGATGGAACAGGGTGCCCCCCTAGGAATGGTCTTCAGGAGAAAGGTGGTTTCGACAGATGCTTCCAACACTTGTTGGGGAGCTCTGTGCGAAGGAAAACTGGCTTTCGGCCACTGGTTGAAAGCGCAGGACGGTCTTCACATCAACTGCCTCGAAATGCTGGCGGTATGTCAGGCCTGTCAAACCTTCCTACCAGACCTGAGGGGACACCACGTTCTGGTCCGCTCAGACAGCATGACTGTGGTGTCCTACATAAATCGCCAGTGAGGGCTTTCCTCGAGGTGCCTCTTTGTGATGGTAGAGCACCTCCTGGAATGAGCTCAGCTCAACCTGCGCTCGCTGAGAGCAGCGCACGTTCCGGGCAAACTGAACCAAGGAGCGGACATGTTGTCACGAAGCAAAGTCCCATCAGAAGACTGGATGCTTCATCCGCAGACGGTTCAAAAAAAATGTGGGAGATCTTTGGCAAGGCGGAAGTGGACCTATTTGCCTCAAAAGACAACTCTCATTGCCCAATTTATTATTCCAAGGACAAGGACACGTTGGCCCACTACTGGCACAACCTCCTTGTCTATGCTTTTCCCCCGATCGCCCTGTCCTGCAGGTAATCAGACAAATCAGGGAACAAGAACGCAAGGTTCTCCTGGTGGTCCCGCTCTGGAGAAACCAGCATTGGTTATCAGAGCTGTCGCAGCTGCTCATAGCAGCCCCGTGGCCCATTCCCCTGAGGCGGGATCTCCTCTCTCAGGCGAACAGGACGATATGGCACCCCCGGCCCAAGCTGTGGGCTCTGCATCTTTGGCCACTCGACGGGAGTCTGCAAGCCTCCCAGAGTGTGTTCTAAACACCATTTCTCAGGCTAGAGCTCCATCTACAAGACGCCTCTACGTCTTTAAGTGGTGGGTGTTCTCCGCCTGGTGCTTAACCAGGCGAGGACGGGCGAGAACCCGTCCGTCTGTGACGTATCGGTGATATTGTCCTTCCTGCAGGAGCTATTGGATAAGGAGCACTCCCCATCCACGCTCAAGGTCTATATAGCAGCTATAACGGCTTCTCATGCCCCGATAGCAGGCCAGTCGGTGGGCAGAAACAACTTTATTGTCCGTTTTCTGAGGGGGGCTAGGAGGCTGAATCCGCCCCGTCCCCTCACTGTCCCTACGTGGGACCTACCTGAAGGGTCCTCCCTTTGAGCCGCTGCAGTCTGTTGACCTTCGGTCCCTGTCGTTGAAAACTGCTCTGCTGCTAGCATTAGCATCGGTCAAACGAATGGGAGACTTACAGGCGCTGTCTGTGAGCCCTACCTGCCTGGAGTTCGGGCCTGGCGACTCTAAGGTTGTCCTGAAACCGAGGCATGGTTATATATCTAAGGTGCTCTCTACTCCATTCAGGGCACAGGTCATTACACTCTCTGCGCTTCCTCCCTCAGAAGAGGACCAGGAGTTGAAATTACTCTGCCCCATCAGGGCGCTGAAAGTTTACATCGAGCGTTCCGCCCCGTTTAGGCAGTCTGAACAGCTCTTTGTTTGCTTCGGTGGCCGCGCTAAAGGGCATCCGGTCACGAAGCAAAGACTTTCTAAATGGATAGTTGACGCTATTATGCTAGCCTATTCTTCCTTGGGCCTGCAATGCCCCATTGGAGTACGAGCCCATTCAACTAGAGGCGTCGCCTCTTCTTGGGCATAGTCTAGCGGCGTGTCCATTGCGGAAATTTGTGTGGTGGCCGGTTGGTCCTCGCCATCCACATTTGCTAGATTTTATAACCTGGACGTCCCTGCCTTGCAGGCTAGGGTTCTTACTGCATAACTGGCATGCACCTGCTTACGCAGTACCACTCAAAACCATCAGAGGATTTACTTGTGCGCTCTCGGCCCTCATAGGTGCCGGGGCTGTGCATGTCTTCTGGAACGATCACTCAGATTGGGCGTGACCTCTGTGAGCTTAGCCCATTCGCCTTGGGAGGTGTTGGACTCCACGCTATTGTCCCCTTGGGCTCTGAGATGCCTAGGGCAAGGTTACACATGTAGTCGTTCCTCTGCCATAGCACGGCGTGATTGTATTGTTTCCCATAGCATCTTAGCAGACGCAATACGAGTGAAGTATCGATAGGGAACGTACTCGGAGATACAGGAACGAGTACTGCGTTGCTAGCCATGCTATACAGCTGCACGACTCAGTCGTCGCTTCAGTCGAAGTAACCGGAATCCTATGGCGAAATGCCCGCTTATATAGCCAGATGGTCCCACCCATTCTGGCGGGCTTTGGCGGGCTTCGTGGCCATAGGTTCGTGCAGCACTGCTGCCGAACCATTGGTTCATTTTTAAAGTATACTGCACGAACCAATGGCCGTGCAGTTACACTGCGTTATTGAAAAAGGCTTCAGTTCAGGAAAAAAAAGGGCTTTTTCCCATAGCGTCTTAGCAGACGCAGTACTTGTTCCCATATCTCAGGGAACCGTGGTTACGTTTGTAACCAAGTACGATTCTGTTGCTATTTCAGAGTGTGTGGTTTTCTCATGAAAATTTGTCTTGGAAAGGTTTGGCTGGTCTCTGTCTATTTTGGAGGCTTCTATTAGTTTTAAATAGAGTCAGAGCAGTGGATTTGACTTGGGGTGTTGGAGGAATTACTGCTCCAACCAAAATTAGTGTTCTTCTTGACAGACAATTAATTTCAAATGACTACTTTCTTATCAGATTATGGTTCGACTGAATGAGACATATAAGTACATTTTCATCTCGCTGGATGGAATGGAATCTTCATTGAGACCAGAATAAACTCTAGTTCTCCAGGGTATGTACAAAAAGATCAAGAATGTCATAGTTAGAATACCAAAGAAAACAAATACAAACAAGCAACAAATACTGAACAAAAGAACAAACAAATAAATATTTTCAATTCAAACATTTTCCCCCCATTGTGTCTGCATTTACACCAAATACGAATCAAAATGTGATTATGACACTTACAATAATTCCTGACATGTATCCTGTGATGCTGACGCTCACAGTGCGTGTGCTGGTGTAGATACCCATCACTACAATGAGCAAAGACAGACTTAACATGCCTGAAACCAGCCACTGAGCCTTTCTTCTCCTCATCCTCACTGCATCTACCAGAGAGAGTTTAGGAGTTAACTACATTTAAAAGATTGCAGATCAATAACATAAACACAGTTTAAATCTGCTTAAACAGCCTACATAGTACAGGTTTCCTCTCTTGACTGACAAACTCAGTTTAGGTATGAAATGTTTTTAAATAACACTCTTTTTTGTCAAATTAGGTCTCACTTTATCTAATTTATTAAAGTACATTTATTAAATACACACTAAAAACACATATGTTGAAGCTTGATCCACTATGAGGTTGTCACAAAAACATTTTTCGAATGAAAAGAATTATCAATGACGGGTATGATTGTCTACTCATATTTAAAAGACATTCAACCATGAAAAAAAAAATCGTTCCATTTTACCTGAGGTCCCACTCACTTTACCTGAGCTGAACTCTCTCAATACACAGTCAGTCTATGTTTATCAAATTCAAGAATATAATCGATAAAATAGTTTCGACTGGAAACACATTTTATTTTACTGTAAAAATGAGAAGTGCAGGTTAATGCAGACATTATGTTTCTTACATTAAGAATAATACGTATTATACAAAAAAATACTTTATGTTTTTCAAATTTTAAGCTTTTCTTTCTTACGCTACATGGACTATATTTTTGAAATCGGATTCAACACTTACCTGCAGCAGCGTGTGAAGGAGGGGCGTCGCGCCGGGTCGTTTCTTGTGCGTTTGTCATTTCTCCTCGTTAGTGTTTATAATCCAACCGATCTCACTCGCGGTGTAAATCCAGACTGTGCGCGCCAGTGCGACTGCTAGAGCTTTTATACACGTGCCAGCGCCCTCCGGAGAATTCAGGGACGTGAAATTAGAGTCTGAACAAAGTTATCAGTTCAACTGAAACACGTCTAGCCTGGTAGCGTTACGTGATATACATTTTTAGAGTTTGAGGCAAAATCTTCTTTTTCTTTTTCTGACTTTTGACTATTTGATGATGGTTTTGTTGTAATGCTTCTTCAGAAATAGTTGCAGATGATGCTTATTTGTCACCTACTGCAGTGAACATTTCTAAGGGTAGATTTATTTTAAATTTTTCTGTAAAGACACAAACTTTAAAGTTTTGACTGTAAAAAAAAGGGTAACACTTTATTTTAAGGTGTCCTTGTTACACGTTACATGTACTTACTATTATAATAACAATTAATTATGCATAATTACATGCAAGTAACCCTAAACCAAACCCTAACCATATAGTAAGTGCATGTTAATTATTATTACTCAGTACATAATTACACTGTAACAATGACACCTTAAAATAAAGTGCAAACTAAAAAAAAGCTATAGAACGGCTCAGGAAAAAGATTATTTAGTTTATTAAACACATTCTTTTGTGACAACAAAAGCCATTAATAAGCAAAATGGTGCTTCAGTCTCAAATAACCTTATTTCAGTGTCAAGATTATAGAGCAATATGAGTCTCACTACACAAATGGGCAACTGATCACATGTAGATTTAATCTCTGAACACTTGCCAGTTTCTCGCATGTAAACTGTTATTGGGAAACTCAGCAATGTGATGTTATAATACTGATTTGTATCAGTTTTTTAGTCAAGGGAACATGCAAAAAATAATTTATGGGAGGAGGTTCAGATGTGTCTGTTCTTTTTTTTTTTGTGACTAAAAACAATCAAACCTACTTCAGCCGTTTGAAAACTTGCCTGCTGTACAAGAGCAATATACCCTAGTGAGAGACAGTATACTTAAATATATTTGAAAGACATTTGTTTCATGCTAAGTATATACATTTACATATTTATGTACTTAATAAAAAATACCCTACTTTAGTATACTAAACTGTTAAACTGCTAAATTCGAACAACTAATTTTGTTCTTAATGCACTTTAATTGTGCGGAAGTAGTGCTGAAGTCCAACTAAAGATATACTGAAGTATATATAATTGTGTTAAAGTGGGACTATTGCAAGTTGGTACACTTTAAATATTATGCATTTAAAGGCCGATATTATTCAAAGATCATACAATCCTCATCATGACATTAAAACACATGTTGGGCTTAACATTAAGAAAAGTCCATTGTGCATGAGTAGAACTCCAAATAAAGTTTAATTATAATTTTTATAGCAGTAAGTCTTGAGCAATATGTAAGTTAATAGATTTGAACTATATATTTAGTATGAAATAATTGCATTTTAAATATAGGCTATTACTATTATTACTTTTCTCAAATAAAATTTGTCTAAGGTATGAACAAATTTATCGAAAACAGTGCTATGCAACACTGAAGGTGTTGTACTGTTCTTGGCCTTTCTGTATTAGTTAAGGTGTTAAGTGTGCAGCATATGCTTTTCTATCTGGGATTCATTTAGAAGTCACATTCCTGCCAGACTGTAAATTATTTCTGTTGTTCAACACGCTCCTCTATGGATAGCAGGCGGATCTAGTTAGGAGTGAAAAATGACTTTGTATTATGATAAAAGCTTAGAGATTCTATATGTAATTAGACCTTTAAACTCAGTCAGCTGTCTACTGTATATCTCCTGCCATATTGCATATTTTATTCATCTCTTCTGCATACTGCAGGGTGTTTAAACTCACACAGCGATGCATGATATATTTGATAGGTGTGAGGAGCTTGGTGGGTGATGTTTTTCCTCTGCCTGCAGCTAGAATCTCTGGAACTCTCAGTGATGGTCAGGAATTGGTCAATGTGTGTTCACTGACATAAGACTAAAAAACAGCTTCTCAGATTTCACCGCATGAATCAAAACTGATGAGACCGAGGATGCTTGTAACACTTTTTCCCTTTAACATCTTTAACTAATTTTCCCCCATGTTCATCTGCTACATATTAAAGTGGTTGTGAAACCAACATTATCCTTGAACTGTATAAAGTAATGTCAAGTAATGCAAGTAAAGAGTGCTGTTATTACAATATGTTCCAATACCAGGGTGAAATGTTGATATTTCTTTCTGGAAATTGGTCTTTGTCACGTAAATCATTTAAATGTGTCACCTCTCATTTCTAAGTGGGTAACCTGACAGTGTTACAATTCACATTGTGTTATATAATCATATAACCTAATGTATATAAACTGAACAAAATTATAAACGCAACACTTTTGTTTTTCAGATTTGTGAACAATATTTGAGAGAAATAGGCCTTTTGTGTACATAGAAAAAGTCTTAGATCTTTGAGTTCAGCTCATGAAAAATGGGGGCAAAAACAAAAGTGTTGCGTTTATAATTTTGTTCAGTGTAAATAAGTTTCTACAGTGCTGTTTAAATGTCCATTATGGAATATACATTTTGAAGCAGCTTTCTGCTATAAAAACTTAAAATCCCATCATACATCAACATCTAAATAAGGTGATTTGATTTTTTTACAGCCCTAGTAATACATGATGTGATATTTCATTTAAGCAATACAGCCATCAATATAGTCATTGTTAATCTGGGTTGTTAAACAGGCAGCGTATACAATCAAAGACATAATGGATCATGGCTATATGTAACAAAAATAATGATCAGCTAAGGAAACGTTTTGTGTCATACTTTATTTTGGATTTTAGAATTTTTAGAAAATGTTGCAAAATTTCACAGTAGTCATAATTAAGTATTTTAACAACACATCCTTTAACTTTCAAGCTAGGATGCTGGAATTGTGCTCTGACCAAGTTTCGTGGTCCTGGAATTTCCCCCTCCTGAAAATCAAAACTGCAGTGCAGTGTCTTTGACTTTTATAAAAGTCTTTCCAGTAATCATAGACGTTTTGATGCCAAGGACCCCAAATATGATTATGCCTTTAGGAGGAACCCCCTTCATAAAATATTAAGAAAGCTATACATTTCATCCCAATTTAAACATAAAAATGCTTAGAAAAAGCAGGATATTTTAAACATGTTGCCCACAAATGTAAATATTTGGCTTTTATATTATTACTGTATTGACGCCAAAGCGAATTATGAAACAATTTTTTGGAAATAATACCCATGCATATGTAAAGTGCGCTTGGCTATAGATTTTGTTTTCCTGACAAATTTTACAGTTAATGTTTTTACAGTTAAACATAAAATTGCCCAGATCCCAGTTTGAAACCCCTTATAATCTAAACTAGGTTTATCTTAGACTAACCCCTCAGGCACGATCTAGAATTTAATTAGGCTGTGTCAAAAATAGTGGATCTATGAGGGTTAAACTTCGCATTCTTAAAACCAAATACTAGAAATTTGGAATGAAGACAATAGCATTATAGCACGTAATTGTGCATTTGTCTTCTGAGACACATACTCATATGCTTCAAATTTGTCAAGCAGATTTATTTCTTTGAAAGCACCCACCCTAATACCATACAGACACAAACCTGTACACTCAACTCCTGAACACTTATCTGACTTACCAGGGAAGATGGATCCTCCCAAGCCTTACAAGGTCAAGGGCAAAATGCTAAAGTACTTGAAACCCTTCACAAACAAGCACCAAAGTGCTCTATAAACATGATCTGTCTTGATAATTTTCTTTCTATTGCTCTGTCTCGTTGTTGGTGTGAGATCCTCCTCAGTTCTGTGAACATCTTCCTTTCATAATCCTCTTCATAACATATTTCATAAGGGGAGGCACTTTAGTGAACAGAAAGCAATATATTAAACCACTCCTGCTTTAATCCAGCTGTGACAGCTTTGTTGGGATATCTATCTATCTATCTATCAAAACAACTCTACTGTACATAGTGTAACTTTTGCATGTATCTTTAAATGCAATTGAGCTGCTGCTCCCAGCCTCCTTTTCCAGAATAGGACTGTGCCTTTACAGCTCCTGCTTTAGATTATCTGCCAAAAAACATCTGTTTGGTTTTGATTATCACTCTATTGCGCTGAAATCATGCGTTTTAAAGCTATATCAGTTTAAACTTCTGAGATGGACATGGGTGCACATGGGTGCAGCAGACGCAATAATATTACGCAGCGCCTGAAAATAGGCTAACTTCCGTCAGCATAACCAGCGTGACCACCTGCTTGCACAGGGAGCGTGCTGGGGACTATTTTCAGGCGCTGCGTAATATTATTACGCCGGAATGAGAGTATAGTTCCTAGCCATATCGGCCTAGAAAATCGCAACTTTTCATTTTACGTCGGTCTTAGTACACGATGTAACTACAGAAGAGTCAAGTTTTAAATAGGAAAAATATAGAAACTCTTTGGTCATTTTTGAGCGAGATGCTAACGGTCTAATCAGATTCAATGATCTATGCTAAGCTACAGCTAAAAGTGCTACTGCCAGACCTGGAGATCGGCTGAACGGATTCGAAAACGGTCAAACTCAACTGTTTAACTCTAGGGGAGTTGGAAAATGAGCCTATTTTCAAAAATAGAGGAGTGTTCCTTTAACGTTGGATTTTGGTTACACAATCTAAAAACAACAAAAATCAACATCAGCTGACGTCGGTATTGGACATCAGATTAACAATGACATTAGACGTTGAATTGACATTGAATTTTGGTCACGCGACGTCGTAACCGAAATTTGACCAAATATCAATGTCTTATGACGTTGTGTGCCTGCTGGGAAGTGACAGCAGCGTAATATACAAGACCTATACTGCTGTCTACGCTGTTAATATGACCAAAACAATCAAATAAAAGCAGAAAATCACTCACTGCTTTTTAATGAATCATTTATATCTGGATTCCCCTGAAGGGGTGAAGCAGGACAATGTCTGACTCCAGCGTTCTGGCTGAGGGACAACCAGTCTAATAC